CAAGGGAAGATGCTTGTGCTACTTTGCTTTACCATATTGCTAAACATTTTATTGGAGAACCTAAGTTATTTCAGGACAGGAGTCTCCAAATTTTGAGTAATCTAAGTTGCCCAAACTTAGACAACTTCATCCACTACAGACATGCCTTTTTGAGCAAAGTCATGATCCGCCCAGATTGCAATTTGGATTACTGGAAGGAACGTTTCATCAGTGGCTTACCTCCTCTTTTTGCAGATAAGGTAAGAACCAAAATACAAGACAGGAATAATGGTAGTATTCCTTATAATAATCTTACCTATGGAGACCTAGTAAGCACCATTAACATCGTAGCCCTAGAGCTATGCACAGACATCAAGCTAAGACACCAGCTTAAGAAGGAACAATCTTCTTCAAGGAAAGAACTTGGAAGCTTTTGTAAAGATTTTGGATTTATTACTCCACCGGATACTAAGAAGAAGGAAGAAAGAGAAAAATCCTACAGAAGAAAATCAACAAGGAAGGATGATTCCTCTAAATCTTCCAAATCCGAAAGAAAGAAAACCAGATCCAAGAGATCAACCCAAAAGAAACAAGACGTCTGTTGGAACTGTGGAAAAAGAGGGCATAGAGCAAACGAATGCCGTTCAAAAACAAAGAAAAAGAAAATCAATCTTCTTGACATGGATAAGGAAACGAAAGGTAAACTTTTCGCTATCCTTGATGAACCATTTTCTGACATTACAGATGAATCTGAAGAAAATAGCTCAGATGAGGACATCAACCTGGACTATGATTCAGATTCTAGTCAATCAGAAAAAGGTTGCACTTGCACGGAAGCATTCTGCACTTGCGGAAAAGAACCTCAAATTAGGGTTCTTTCTGATAACTCAAAAGAAGCCCTTTTTGATGTCATACAACATATCAATGATGATGAGGCTAGGAATCGTTTCCTCCTAGAGCTCAAAAATCTGATCCTCAATACAGACAAACCAAAGTCTCGTCCTATTGTTGAACCTTTCAGCATGAAACAAATCATGAATCGTTCAGAAAATCATTCTGAACCAACCATTGCGGATCTTCGTCATGAAGTTTCTCTTCTCAAAAATGAAATTCGAGAAATCAAATCCCGTCTTTCCATGATAGAAACTGACACTCCTATCCGTCAGATTTCTAAAAAACCAGCTTTCTTAGATTATGAATCTAGGCACAGCTCCTCAAAAAACAATTCAGACAATGAGGATGATATCAATCAACCTGACATCAACAATAATCATCTGGTTGAACCAGAAGTTTTTACACAAACCAATAACAATACTTCCCACTTCTGCAACACCAGGTTTAACTGTAATTTCCTCTACCAGACCTCAAAGCCATCATATCCCTATCAAAATAGTGATTAACAAACATTTTGTTATTAACAAAGTCGCTTTGCTTGATAGCGGTGCTGATAGAAACTGCATCATGAAAGGTATTGTTCCTNTTCAGTATTTACAAAAAAGTCTTCAAAATTATACTCCGCTACAGGAGAACTTTTGAAAATAAACTGTAAGCTTTCTAAAGCCCATATTTGCAACAATGGCATTTG